GCTATGCCAGGGGACTCCTTCGGTGCTTTCGGACATCGCCAGCTACACCGAGGACTCCTCGGTGCTCGGATGTCACCAGCTACGCTGGGGACTCCTCGGTGCTCGGACATCGCCAGCTATGCTGGGGACTCCTCGGTGCTCGAACGTCGCCAGTTACGCCGGGGACTCGCTTGATGGTCGGATCTTGCTACGCCTCATCGATTGTGCTATCAAATTTGCTCCATGCTATTCGGATCGTGGTGCTTGATCTTGGGTAGCATATGTCCGGGTCTTGATACGCCGCATGTCGCACGACGTCGGCAAGCTTTCAGACTTCTTTTTCTTTGACCCTGCTACAAGATTCATTCTTCATCTTCCAGTAGGCTTGGGGACTAAGTGGGCACACTTCACCTTGCGGTGAATGTGCGCTTTTCAATTTAGGGCTCCGCCCGTGGACTTGAATTGCTGCTCGCTTCGGTCGGTCTTCGCCTTTTTTCTACTTTTCTAACCACGGCACCACGTGACTCGTCACCCTCTTGTCGAGCTCGGGGACTAGCTTTGGGGGTATGGCCCCCGGTATCCACAAGACAAGACATGGGCCGCACCCTCAGAGGTGGCCCAGCCCATAAGATCAAGGCATGCACGGCACTGATCGATGTGCACCGCAAGACATTGTATAGAACCAAATAGGATACTTTCCTTGTAACCCTACCCCTCCAGAGTATATAAGGAGAGGCAGGGGTCCCCTAGTCAACATCTCCATAGATCTCATATTCAATACAATACACCAAAGACACAGAATGTAGGGTATTACGTCGATCAAACGGCCCGAACCTGTCTAAATCGCTGTCTTTGCGCCTTGTGTCACCATCCGGTTCCTAATTACGCGCACCTCCACCGACAAATCTACCATCGCGGGATACCCCTCGGTGGATTGTCGAGCATCTTTTATCGACAATGTGCTTGCTTGCATTGCATAAATCTTTTTAAATCTGATATGCATGCTTGTGTGGTGTATGCTAGTTGTAGAACTTGAATGATGATTTGATAACTAGCATGCATAGGATGGTAGCTAAACATGTATTTTTACACATGGTACTAGAACCTTGTTTATAATGTTAATCTCATAGGGTTTCTAGTATTTTTTGTTGTCTAGCTACTCATGGTGCTAAGGATGGTGTTAAAAGTGCAACTCCGATTGGTATCACACTTTAAAGGTTTATTCTATACACCTTAGCATCATTTGGTAGTAATTACTCTCCCACAATTCCAATTTATACATATGTGCAAGCTTCAAACCAAACACTTTAGCACATATGTAGGGGGGGCTAATACTACCATTTCAGGTTTGTGTACTTGTCCAAAATCATCTATATATGGTAAAATTGTTTGGGCAAGCAACATGAATCCAAAAGAGCTTAATTTCCATATCTTTGTAGAGTTGTCATCAATTACCAAAAAGGGGGAGATGAAAGGTCCTTGTGTGATTTTGGTAATTGAGTGACAACCTAGGTGGACTAATTGTGTTTATGTTAGATACACAGGTGATTAGTCCACATGTACATATGTGTGAGCAACATATGCCATGAAGGTGGAAATGGCTCGGAGATATTGCAAAGCTCACAATGTGATGATGAAGGAGCTCATTGCACATGAGACATGACATTGAGTCATGTGATCAAGGTGGAGAAGATCAAGACATGACTTGGCTTGATGGACCGGTTGCAAGCGTGAAGGGCAAGTTGGAGGCTTTGGAGCGATGGACCGCGTGGCGGTGAAGCTTGAGCAAGACATGGCGCCGATGGATGAAGGCAACGGTGAAAAACAAGTGAAGTCAAGATCGATGAACCAATATAATCACGTGATGAAATAAAGTGGATCATATCATTGTTGATCGTGTTGGTGCACGTATTGCATGCAACATTGGAGAAGATGGAATGCGCAAGGCAAAGGTATAACTTAGGGCATTTCATTTCACCGGTCATAGATGTGTAGAGAAGTTGATGACCGGGATTAGGATAGATGGCCGTACTATCAAGAGGGGCAAACTTGTTTGCATATCAGTCATCAGTGCCACGTGAGCGATCTAACTTTGCATCGTCGCTAGGATCGAGTGGCGTGGCAAGTTGAGTGTCTAATCCTTTAGAAAATATTTGTGAAAAGCTAACACACATACACATGGTGGTGTACATTTGGTGGTGTTGGCACATTTGCAAAGGAGAAAAAGTTGGAGTTGATGAGGACAACTCGATGAAGAAACAGAGGTGAGAAGGTGTCACTGTGAGTGACCGGATGCTGGCCTCAGCAAGACCGGTGCGTCCGGTCAGTGGCAGCAGAGAGAGCGCAGGCGTCGGTCTTCGACCGGACGCTGGGCGAAGAAGTGACCGGACGCACAGGTCCTGCGTCCAGTCATGTGTGACGTATGGTGACGTAGTGCGGGCAGCTGAGGCAGCGAGGACCTGACGCCCGGCTACGTCTGGTCACCTATGACCGGACGCGTCTGGTTGCAAAACAGAGGCTCGGGGAGCTCTCTAGAAACGACCGGACTCAGGCATAGCAGTGTCCGGTCATCCTCACTGTACTGCATCCGGTCATCACTTGACCGTTGGCACGCGGCAGTCGATCGTTGAAATCAAGCGACTGAGGTTGAACGGAGGCGACGCGTGGCGTGCATCGCTGACCGGACGCTGGACCGGGTGCGTCCGGTGGATCTGACCGGCACGTCTGGTCGCCCCGAGCAGTGCCCAGTTTAGGGGTACAACGGCTCTATTTTCGTGGGGGCTATAAATAGAAGGGGGTCTCAGCCATGGCTGAGCGAGAGCACCTTGGGGGGACTTTGTGTCCATGCTTGATAGTGATCATCCAATTGCGTGAGAGAGTGATTCTAGTGCGATTGCGTCACGAGGTTGCATCGAGTGGCACTAGGTGATTGAGTTGTAAGCCGGTGGTGCTTGTTACTCTTGGAGATTGCCACCTCCTAGACGGCTTGGTGGTGGTCTCCGTCGAAGCCCGCAAGAAGCTTGTGCGGTGCTCCGGAGAAGAGCTTTGTGAGGGGCATTGTGCTCACCCCGCAGGAGCCGCGAAGAGCAACTCTAGTTGAGCATGTTATTGAGCTACCCTCACTTTCGGGGTAGGTTCTTGTGGTGCCCGACGTGCGGGCTTGGCAGGTGATGCTAATTAGTTGTTGAACCACCAAGTGAGCGGTCGACACAATGGGGACATAGCGTGTTGGCAAGCACGTGAACCTCGGGAGAAAATTCACCGTGTCAACATTGTTCTTCCCGTTGGTTTGCAATCCCCTTACACAAGCTTGTAATTATTTTCACATACATTGTGCTTGTGTAGTTGCTCTTATAATTAGTTAGCTTGTGTAGCTTGCTAGTTACCTTCTTGCTTGTGTAGCATAGAAGTAGCTCCCTTACGTGGCTAAATTGGTTTGTGTAACTTTGTTAGTCACATTGCTTACTTTGTGTAGCTAAGTATTTATGCTCTCTAATTTGGCATTGGTTGTCTTGTTATTGAGCATTGCTAGTGAGGTTAGGAGCTTTGTGCTTTTGCTTACTAGGCTGTGTGTAGGAGCTCCCAGTGTGCAAAATACTAGTAGCATATGTTTATATGACCTTGCTCCTAGAATTGGGCGTGTGATAACTCTCATCCCGGTGGCCAGCGAGAGGAAGCAGAGTGGGCTGAGGCGGAGATGAAGAAAGACACTAGGGGGGGCGGTCATTTGACATGGGGATCTTGACTCAGATCCGCTACCGACATGAGATGTTTGGCATGCCACGTGAGTAAAAATGGCAATTTCGTATTGCTTTTCTCTCTTTGCTGTTAAAACCGTAACACCAATTCTAAGAGTGATGTATTATAATGGTAAAAAGTTAAATATCCCGTGGATAGGAGATGGCCAAGCACAGGCAGCAGGTTCCGCTGCAGCGCGTGCGGCGCTTGCTGCTTAGCCACGGAGCGGCGGCTCAGCCCTGCAAGATGGCGACTCGTTTTTACCGGGCGACGGTGCTTGCTGCTCCGGCCGGCCAGTAGCGTGAGCTCTGGTGCTGCTCCGGCCGATGCGACTCGTAGCTGCGTAGGGTCCACCGTTGCCACGCGACGATGCGACGGGTCCGGCAGGTACACTCCATCTCTCTCGACAGGGTGCGCGGCGGTGGATGAGGGCTCTCATCCGGTGGCGGTGGGGATCAGATGAGGGGTCGGTTGGAGACTGATTTTTGCAGTTTTGACCCTCAAAAGAATGGTAGGAGTCCGGATGAGAGGTCCACTGGAGTTGACATTTTTACCCCTATATAAGGATTAAGGACACACTCTGGTTTGAGCTTTTTTTTTTAACCATGGAAGTGATCTCCATTACTCAGAAATTGATGCCAAATCATTGGCTACAAGGACGCTAAAACAAGCTGGTTTGAGCTTTGTGTTGTGTGCACATCGGCAAACACATGATGTAAATAACAAGGATGAAAAAGGAAAAGTTTTAATCTCTCTTACTACATAAAAAAATGATAGTGGGCGAATCAGCAAATACCTCACTGCAATTCAATTATTCCACGATCAACTCAAATGGACAATGCAGCTTATTTATAATCAAATATGACATTTCCGTGTTGTTTGGTTGGTTCCACAGCAACGCGAATGTAAATGAAATCAGTTCAATCGTATCTCCCACCGGTAACATCCGCAGTTTTAAATCATTTACGTGTGCGTTACCAACGGTAGAACCAAACAGCTCGTGTCTCAGTCGTCTTACATCAACAACCAAGAGGGGGAAAGACATTGTTATTTCATGAGATAATGCTGCTGTTTCTAGTAAATAAATAAAAAACATTTAGTTATGTTGTATTCCCCGTTTTGACCAAAAGTCCAAAACAGACTGCCCGGGAACTTTACTAGACCCAAGCGTCATCTGATGGCATGGAGAAAAGCCCTGACTCTGAACAACCAATTCTTCATAAGTTCCTTGTCGAAGTTTCATAGGCATTTCCTTCCAAAAAAAATTGTGTATCTTGAGAATATCATGTCATCATGTCAGCTGGTAGGGATGTACTAAATACTCTGTCCTTTGCCTTCAAAGCCTGAAGCAAAAAAAAAAAAAAAAAAAAAAAAAAAACAGAGGCTGCCACATTAACAAAATGGAAAAGGCAACGAAACGCAATAAATTTAGGTTGATTTGCTTACTTCTTTCTCCCAGTTGCTGCACAAAGTAATTGTGAGGAGAAATAACATCTGTATGACGAGTGCGCAGATTATTCCCAGCCAAAGTCCCTAGACATTTAAACCCATAGTTTAGAGAGTTCTTTTTTTTTTCTACCTGATAGAGTAATAAATGTTCAACTAGAACTTCTTAAGGGTGGTTCAGGTAGTAAATTACCATTCCGCCTAGATGGTACAGAAAGGCGAAACAGATGGCAGCTGGAATTCCTATAAGGTAGTATGCACCAAGATTAACACAAGCACCAATCTTTTGCCACCCACAGCCCCTAGCAACACCTGGGAAAATATCAACAATCCCCTGTTGTGAGTCATGATCTAGGTGATAATGTTCCAAAAGAAATAAATGCAGTTCTTAATATACACAGAGATAAAAACAGATCAACGCAAAAGATTAGGAAATGGGTTCGCTGTCCATTTACCTGAAAGAACACACTGCACACAATCAAACAAGAATGACACAGCTAGGATTGGCATCATTTTGGAGATGTATTTCACCACCTCCTCCTCATTACTGTATGCATATCCCCATAAATTGCGCACCAAAATCATAGCTAGTCCGATTAATATGCCAACCACGATAGCCAGCACCATGACCACACGGGTAGCCAGATGGGCAGCATGGGGTCGTCCAGCACCAAGTTCATTTGAAACACGGGTGCTATAGGGGCAAAAAAGAAACATATCAGTGCCACAAGATTCAGTTGATCAACATGACATGGTAAAGTTAAAGAGCCTGATCTGTTCAGTCTGACCTTATGGCTGCGCTAAGCCCAAAAGGGATCATAAACGCTAAAGAGCCTGTGTTTAAGCTGCAGGAAATTGAAGAGTCACAACCAAGAAAGGGCAAATCAAATTGAAAGTGTCACATACAAAGTTAACTCACGAAATGGACAAAACTGATGTCTCAAGCTTTGGATTTGGGAGAAGTCCAGAAAGAAGTACCAGGAGCTCAAATGACCACCACTCCAAGCTGTGTGCATGTAGGATCCAGTTAAATTAGAGATGACACAAATCGAAAAAATTCATCTGTGACTAGGGGATTCGAAAACTCACCAAACCATCAGCGCAGATGGAACACCAAGCCTCAAGAAGCTGGGTATGTCATGAAAAGCCTCCTTTGAGAACCCTCTCCAGGTGTTTCTACAGGCTGGTGCAAGCCTGACGTAAATTGCCAGGATTGAGACATTGGTTAAGTATGAGATAGCATTGGCCAAGGCAGCACCCTTGTTGCCCATACCAATCTTGTACACCAGCAGCCAGCACACCAGCAGATGGTTCAGTGCTGTGGCACCTGAGCTCAGCATCACCGGGAGGACGATGTTCTGCGTTTGCAGGAACCGGACATGGCACTGTAGTGGACCATACACAAATAGCGGGAATCATCCACGGATATAGCTCCCTGCCCCAGCTGCAATCTCTGGATCCTGACCAAAGAGTAGAAGGATCTGGCCAGTGTATGACCAGATAATTGCAACCACAAGGCTCACTAGAGTGAGCACAAGGATGGCCCTCTGCTTGTGGATGCCAAGAAGATAGTACTGCTTTGCCCCAAACGATTGCCCACACAGTGTGTCCAAGCTGCTCGCCATGCCAGACTGAAATGATGAAACAAACAGTTGACTCTGCTATTGAACTCCATATAATCGTTCAGGTCTAGCATATGAGAAATGTCTTGAGTTTGCATTAACATACCAATAAGCTGAAGCCAGTAACGCCTGCAAAGGAGGTGGCGATGGAGGCACTGGAGAGGGCAAGCTCACCAAGGTGACCGACAAACATGACAGATATCATCTGGACAATGTTCTGTAGGATCCATGCGGCGATGAGTGGCCCAGCAAGGTACAGCTGTTTTCTGACCTCGGGCACTACCAGGCTCTCTCTCACCCCGCTGGTCTTAAGAACACCAATGCCAAGAAGGGGTTCATCCATGCTTGGCATCATACACAAAACTTTACACCCTGCTTCTGAACAAGGAGTATGAAACAATGTGTCAAATCGATGAGATCAATCTTACAAAGGCTGAACTGAGCAAGGAATGTGCAACAATGTATCAGTCAATGTGGCCAATCTTATAAAGGCTGGAAAGTCCAAAAGTCCTGAGGAAACCAGAAGAAAACAAAGGCAGTACCTTGGCAGCCAAGTTTGACACTGGCAAACAAGCAGGACACAACAAATGTTTGACCTCATCTGATAGACTTATTGGAAAAAAAGATTAAAAAAATGTCGCCGAACAAATATGTAGTTTAATTTATAGGGACAACTAATGCAGCTCAAAAAAATTAGAATATGGCAGGCAAATGAATTTGGGAAACACTTTGGAGACTAAAGGAGCTTGGCACCCAAGTTAGCATGTGAGAGAGCAGCCTATCCAATGGAGATATGCGAAAGTGACAGCTAAGCACAAAGAATGCATGCTCACTTAGGATGCAAAAGCCATTTTTTCTTCTGCAACTAACTAAATGATGATTGAAAGATACAAGCATACATGTTCAAAGAATCAAGTTCCAGGAATCCAGGTAACGAATAATCACAGATCTTTGCCTTTTGTGGTTGGAACCGGGGGGGGGGGTGGGGGGGTGGGGGGTGTTATTCATTGGGACCAATGTGGGAAAACCTCAGTTTTGGACTGTTCAAACTAATCTGAACCATTAGCAGGTGTAGGCTCTTATTAATCTGGTTCCAAGTGCAGATGTCCAAATTTCATATTTGTTCCTATTCTCTCTTTCCTGTCTTTGACCTGTAATGTTATATGAGCCACTTCATATACAATATACAAAAGCACTTCCAAGGACACAGTACCCTTGAAGAATGATTTAAGAGGAATTGGATTAGGTAAATAAAAAAATCAAAATGAATTAAGTGCAGAGGATTATCAAAATACCGCTCTTTCACAAACAGAGCAAAGAACTGTGATGTTTTCAATCTCAGGGCTACTACGGAGTATGGATACAGCAAAACTCCCATTCTCGATAAAATAAATACTCCCTCCGTTCCAAACTATAAATCATTTTGGCTTTTTAGGTACATCATTTTTACTATATACCTAGATATATACTATGTCTAGATACATAGTAAAACTATGAATCTAGAAAAGCCCGAACAACTTACAATTTGGAACAGAGAGAGTAGTTGAGAGAATTTCATAATGTGTCCCCAACTTTACAAAATCAAGAAGAAACTTTATGCCATTATTTTGCATGGTACGTGTAAACATATAGCATTATAAAAACATTATTCAGCCATCATTTTTACTGTGACAGTAAAACTTAAGAAGTGTCCTCAAAACTTAGGTCACAAATTGAATTTAAGGGATATTAACGTCTGTCCAGATTTGAATATTGAAGTCAAGTGCACTGAGGAAATGCAGAGGAAAGAAGAAGCTAGCTTGGCAGGCAAGTTCAATTATCTCATAGAAGAACCAATCCAACGAATCCACGCTCAATTAGGACAGAAATATCACTTTCAATGCAGTAGATCAATTTAGTGAGCAAAGAGATGTGCACTACAAGTCAAAAGTCGAAAAGGTTATCTAAAAAACAAATCTAAACCAATCTAGGAGTATGCTCCAAGATAATGAAATCAATCAGAACCATCCTAGTCCAGTGCACGCAGCGACAAATTCAGAGTCTGACGCCTCACGTGCTAGGAACCATATCTTTTCTGAAAGATACTCTGACTAATCTCGAGCTGCTCCATATATCAGCCCTTGATGAGTAAGCTTAGCAGACCACATCACGGAATGCCGCAAGATCCAATGCCACTAAAGAAAACGCATGAATCGAAACAAAGCAGGGATTTGATTGTGAGCTGCAAAAGTAAGCACATCGCACTGGAGACTAGTGAAAATCATTCCAATGCATCAATCTTCCACTGTTTCATCTATTTACACACAGCAGCGGTTCCTAATTTAGATGTGCTTGAAATATGAAGAAAGTCCCACTACATGCTTAATTAATAATCCAAAAAAGCGCCAAGCCCAAATGAGTAAGGCCAATCTCCGCCAGCCCGACAAGATTGAAGAAAGAAAGGAGTGCAAGAACCATACCGCAGGCACGGGGCGGCGTTGCGGCTAATTAGGACGCCATGGAGAGCGCGCACCGCTGCGGCCAGGACGAAGGCGGCTCGGTCGTGCCCGTCGGAGGAGGAGCGCTGGAGCGGGGTGCGCCACGCGCGAAGCTGGGATTCTGGGAACCGGGCAAGCGGCTACGGACTACGGAGGAAACGGGTGGTCTTTACGAGGGGTTGGAGGCGGCGGCTTTTACGCCCACGACGACGAGGCTCTGACGAAAGCAATACGGCAAGTCGGCAATACCCCACCGCTCTACCCAAATTGTATTTGGTTTCATTTCACACCTGGGCACAAAAGCTTTACTGTATTTGATTATATTATATATATATATATATATATATATATATATATATAGCCAACTGCATTGCTGCCCTGTGCCCTGTATCTGTCTGTAAGTTTCAAAGCACGTCCGATAGAATTCTTCTAATAAGATAAAAGCGTAGCTCGTATGCAATATATGCGAAGTATATAACTAAAGTAGCCTAAAACTATGTAAAAAAAGAACAATACTGTTTCACTACTAAAAAGACACTTTCTCCCCTTGAGTGACTTCACAAAATTTCAGTTCTTTTTACTCCTCTAGAACTATTTGAACTGTACGAATTCATCACTCCGAATAAAACTGCTTCTTTCTAATGTAAGTTGAGTCTCCAGTAAATTATGTTGACCATGTAAGTTGACTTCACAAAACGGCATGATTGAATGAACGAGCAACGCTGCATTCTGCAAAGTCGATTTGGGTCCACCTGCACTCGATTTGGAGGCATGAAGCCATTGCATATTTTTATTGTGGAAAATAAATTTCTAAAATTCGATGAAGACAATAATAGATTTTGTTCTGTTTTCAATAATAAAAATTCAAAATTCTATTTCAGAAAAAAATATTTCTAAAATTAATTTCAAGTTTGAGTTTGAAAAGTTTTTATGACTTATATATTTTAAAACATGTCTAGACAAGATTAAAATTTTCAAATAGTTCAATTATATTGCAAAAATAGCTTAAAATATGTTTCAAATATAGTTTTAAAAGGATTTCTATAAATATCTGTTTTGAATTTAAAAAATGGATTGAAAATAGTTTTAAAAATAATAATTTAAAAATAGAGTTTCCAAAATATGTTTGAAAAGGTGGCAACGTTTAATGTTTGGTTTAAATGTCTATTTTTTAAATTAGTTTATAAAAGTTTGAGTAGTATTTGAAGTTTAAACCTGAATTTGAAAAATAGAAACTCTTTCTTTTTTAATCTCTTTTGCTTATGGCCCGCAACAGTCTTTTGGCTTGCTTGGCCTAGCCACCGTGGCCGCACGTTCCCTTGCTCTTGTCCCACTTCACTTTATGGCCCAACAACCGTTGTTGCACTCTCTCTCTCTCTCTCCGACTAACCATTGTTGTCTCTAGTAGTACATCATCACTATTTTACTCCTGGTTTTAGGATTACTCTCTAGTAGTTTCAGTTAGAGCATCTCTAGTAATACTTATTGTCGCAGAACCGACCAATTTATAAGAGTACAAGTATAATGGCAGCCCGCAAGCGGTCGCATTGTCATATTTAAACCCATATAAACCCGGTAGTCCATCGAGTACCACGACGGGTCTCGATAAACGATTTACAACAACTAAGATCGTACATGATTCAACATACATGCCACATATTACATAAAGTTCACAGATACATTTCTCCATCAGAGTACGAATAAAAGTTATTACAAACCGAGTTTGATAGATAAAAGCGGAAGCAAATTAAGTTTGAAAGTAACATTTCCAACATAGTTTAGTACAGTGCCAAGATACAATCACGGTCCACAAAAGCATGTAGAAGGATTAATAAGAAGCCTGCCCAAGGCTTACTCCTCATCCACAGCGGGATAGAAGCAACTCTTGCAATAACCATGATACACAGTGCCATCTGCAAATGGGAAATAAAACCCTGAGTACGAGAAGGCACTCAGCTAGACTTACCCGTCATAAACCAGAAATAAAATGACTCCAAGGATTATGCAAGGTTGTATAAGTGGAGATAGCTTGACCACATTTTGCATAAAAGCAATTGACTTATTGTACAATTAGGATTCCTTTATCAATTATTTATAACTATCCATCTCTAGATTAGCAACTATCCTGTGCCAAACATATGGTATATCCATTTAAAAACATACAATAGTAACCATAGCAGGTATTGTAATTCCATATTCATTCGAACCATCATGTTCCATAACACAGTTACTACGATGTTGGGACTAGCCAAGTTTCTCACTATCCGGGAGATACGGCGATTCGAATCGATTTCAACCAGCTGGGAATTTATTCCTAACACAAACCCAGGTCTACTAGCCACGATAGCCTTAGGTCACCTTTGGTACAACTCAGGTACACATTTCACGGGTCCCGTCATGGCTGCAGCGCTAATCTGGAACACGGATGCCGGGACGTTCAGGCCTAGCTCCGCCCTTGGGCTCGGTCGATCGTTCCGGAAGGAGCGCACAATGTAGCGGGTCCCTACCGAGTTGAATTACTCGGCGGCCGCGGTCGGAACGAGTTATCCGGCCAGCTAAGTGAGAGGCATGCGTTCAATCTTGTCGGAAGCACCAACAAGCAGTACGGTCCTTAATCGACCTGCATGGGATAGATCCACACCCAAGACCTCCATGTCTTGTTGCTTCTCTATCGACATCCCGCCGGTCTCCATTTACATTAACCATGGTTTCTTTTTCACGATAGCAATTATAGCCCACCGTGCTCGGTATCCACCTATATCTCGCGGTGATGTGAAATCACCCGACTTCTACCGGTCTAAGCATGGCTAAGCATATATTCAATCACGGACCTATACCGGTTAAAGGTGTAATATTTGGACAAGAAATGTATATGCATCAAGTGGTTCCATTCAACTCTTATAACCTAATGCATCAATCATAAGTACTTAAGTAATCATTTGTAAAATCTTTGGGAGACTTAGAATGCTCCGGAGCTTGCCTCATGAGAAAGGAAGTAGGCGGTGATCGGGACACTCGGAAGCTCTTCAGGATTCTCGCTCCACGCCTTCCGGGAGTTGCGGACTATGGATTCTCCCCCTTTGGTCCCCTTCCTCTGCTTCTTGAATTCCAACAACGTTATTTCTTCCTCCGATCCTAGATGCATGAATATGGCATAAGTATTACGAATGCATATATGCTGTCAAGTGCATCATGTTTATTGAGTAGGTGCATATCTCTTCTCGATTATTTAATTACTACTTCCACGATGCATCTACTGTATCACAAAACAACAGCTACTTGTTTTACTCATAACAGGAGTTCTACTAATCCAAATGCAGTGATCCTAGACTTTCTGAAAATCTTATCAAATAGTCTACAACTTTGTTATTAACTATTTTTACAGCAAACGTCATCTCTATCATGCAACTTAGCAAACTCCAGAATCTGTCCGGAAACTATTCCAATTCTCATTATAAAGTAACAATACTTCTACTTCATATAAGTATTCAAATCTTTACGACCAAAAGTCTACCAATAGTTTAAGCATACCAAATACATCCAAGAAAACATAATGGTGAAGCCCAAACTATTTATTTAAATGCCTTTATTATTTTATTTGAACCCATAGGTTAAATAATAAACCTATACCAAATGTGCATCATAAATTCTCAGAAAATTACAGTGGCTTACTAGTGCTACCAATAGACTACTGTAAAAATTTCATGCCATTTTGCCAAGTAAAACATCCTATACAAAAATGACAAGGCAGCAAGGCTTGAAATAGCATAAATAGAAAACCCTATTGAAAACTGTCAAGCAACAGATTTCCTATTTTTCTTAGCATACAAATACTACTAGGATTACCTCCAACAAATTTCATGAATATTGGATTCCTAAATAATTTATAAAAATTCACACAAGGATCTCCTAATTATAAAATAAAAATCTATAACTACAAATCTACACATGCACTAATCCTCAAATTTTTATTAGAGTTCATATATGACAAGAATAGCTTACCACAAAAATTTCATAAATTTTGGAGCACAGGAACTCTAGATATAAAATAAACAAATTTGTATGCATTCAAAAGCACATTTCAAATTTCTATTTAAATCTCCAAAAATTTCTACTGCAAATGTTAAGAACATATTTTTCTTAAATACTACACTTCCTAAGGAACACTAACAAATTTATTTCACAATTTTTGAAGCTACCAAACTGAAGATATAAAAATTACAAAACAACACCAGATCTGGATTTAAATGAACTAGCCTATTCTACTTCTGTCGCTGACCGGTGGGACCCACCTGACAGAGGACCCCACACGCCTTGATGAGACACGAAGCAGCAGCAAGCGCTGTCAGGAGGCGGTGGCGCATGACCAAAGCTCGCCGACAGCGAGGTTGCCGGTGGTGACATCATCACCCAGTGACCTACTCGACCTAAGCGCATCTATCGCGCACCACTTGGCCGACCCTATAGTCGATGCCGGTGTTGGCGGCGGCGGCCATGGCGGTGCGGTGGCGGCTGGACGACGGCAGTGCTGGTGGAGGCTACAACAACTTCGATCGAATGCTACGCCGAGCATCACCGAAGCTACTGGCGGACCTAGCTAACGCCTCTATCATGGCCTAGGGTGGGCCGGTGGCGGCGTGGCCACGGAGAGAGCGAGGCTAGCGGCGGAGCTCTCGGCGAGGTGTTGCGCTGCTTGCGTGTCGCTTACCAAGTGCTATCAGCCAGAACCACGAGAGGCGGTGGGTTCTTTGGGGAGCTGGTGGTGCTGCGGCGGTGGTGATGAATGGACGGCTCGTCGTCGCGAGCTGCGCGCGAGCTATGGCGGCGACGGCGGTGCTGCGGGAGCTCGGCGGCTACGGCGGTTGCGTGCAAGGACGAAGGAGGAGCTGAGGAAATGAAAAACGGTGCGCGGGATGGATCAGGCAGTCGCTGGCGATGTTAAAGGCTCGCTCTGGCCGGCCTGGCCGCGGTGGGCAGGGCGCTGGTGACGCGCGACCGTCGCGGCCACCACGTTGCGCGCGGGTTCTGCCGGTATCGGCCACTGAAGAATTGCGATTCAGTTCGTTAGTTAAGCAAAGCCGAGCCTGACGACGAGTTTTTGTGAAGCTATACCTGCATAACCGTGACAAATTATCGTACATAGTCTGAAGCAAAGTTGTAGCTCAACGTACCAGCTACAACTATTGTTCAAAGACCATGTGCTAATTCGCAACAAGAACGGAGTAAAATCATCCCAAATATCGGCTGTCAGTCTGTCAGTGAACAAGACTCAACGAAATTTTGTTAAGTGTTGAAAAGTTGGTTTTGCTAATTCTTGTGATCTCAATTCAAGCATGTTAGGAGCTAAATCAGTCAATGACCCAAAAATAAAAGTTGTTCCTTATGTCAAATACTACAACTTTGCTTTAGTGATCTCCTCCATGCAAGGTCTCTAACACCTAGTTCAAACTTGGTCAAACAAGCTACATTCAAAAGATGGTACATACTTAAACTATGACATAATGACCTAATTAGCCCTAGCCATAAATACCAAAGTTGTTCATGATGATATTCTAAACATGTTTAAGCTATTTGCAAGGTCACACAATCATCTACATGTTTACACTCATGATCATATGCACATACACATGGGAACATGAAATAATAAGAATGTTGCATATGTTTCACTCAAATGTTTCAAGTGTAAATGCTTATATATGAATGCTTGATGATCATGCTCATGTTATGCAAGTCAAGTTATGCAATGCTAACACCCGAGGTGTTACACTTATCTAAAACAGACTACACACTTCTATATTTAGGTAGCCACCTATTTTGATACTACTCATATTTTACTGTTGTCTCCAACAATATTATCTAAAAACAACCACCCAAATTTATTATAGTAGAGAATGACACCACATGTCATCCTCTTCTTTTCTTGCCGCCTTAGAAAAACTTGGCCACCTCGGCTTTCATGAGGATGGCCAATGATGGGCTGACCCACCGGTGAGGAAGGGCTACAGGAAGCCGACATGCAAGCCACAATGAGGGCCGGGGAAGGGCCACTCCGCCCACCAGCGGGGCGAGGAAGGGCCGTTCCGTGCACCGGCGGTATAGGAGGGCCAGCGGCGACGAAGAACAGGTGGAGACGAGGAAGACTCGATCGCTACCAGAAAGCGTAATAGCCGAATAAATTTTTGGGTAGTCACTGTTGGGCCAACATGAATGGATAGTGGAAAGGAGGATCTGTGGGGCAACAAATGTGGATAGCCTAGTAGATAGTCTCTTTGAGTGGGTTTTTTGCCCTCCACTATCCAAATTGGGGATAGGTAGTCGATAGTTAGTGTTCTTTGAGATGCTCTTAGTGGGAAACTCTTTGGATGAGATAGTTTGTGTTGCCATTTAAAGAAGGCTTTATGTGCCACTGGTCTAAGAAAGTTGGACGGGAAGCTGTTTGTTTTAGGTGCTCAGCTCATCTTTTTCGCCGTAACCAGTCAAGAAGCTGACCCACACAAGGCCATTAGGTAGATTTCACTCTTCCCTTTGAAAATATGTGTTTTCAAGTTGTCTGTTAGCTAAGCCAAACCATTTCGCTAGGGTGAATTACGGGATGCTTGTTTCCTTTGCCCACCACTATATTGCCTCACCTAGCGAGGATGTGGAGCCTAACTGTGTATTTGGATAGCTTGTCTGCGTGCCTTGAGGTCTGTGCTAACGAGTTTTGCCTTGCTCGTGTATGAGAGCCGAATTGGCTTGCCAAGTTTCTCGTTCCCTATGCGGCGAGGCAAGGCGAGCAACCACCAGAAACTAAGGTCCCGTTCGCTTGGAGGAATCTGGAGGAATTTGTGAGAGCATGAACAGTAAATTTCAGCCGTAAACAGTGAATTCTGGAGGAATTTTGCACCAGCCGAACTGCCCCAAGAATGCCCTAAGAGCAAGGTCAATAATAGAGCCAAGTGCTTAGCTATAAATCAAGTTATAAGAGTCAAGTTATACAATAGGCTATCTTTAAAAAAATTATCTTTATTTATTTTTCTATTTCTTCTCACAACACTTGCTATATGGGCTCATTACTGCACTTGCTTCCATGCTATGCTTGTTGGTATGAGAGCCAAGCCCTCATCTCTCATCCATATCAATATTAACTTGGCTATAAAATCATTATTCTACTTGTTCTAAGTCGTTTCCTACCGGATGTTCACCAGTCACAACCCAACCGAGAAAACGATGCGGCTTTTGCAGACACATGGGCCTTGGCTTTCACTTTCAGGACCCCAAGTCCCCAATCTGAATCGCGCCTACACCGTGCGCAGGCCGCAGAGCACGAATCTCTACGGCTTAATTCGCCTCCCCTCCTCCATTTATCTCCCCAAACTGCGCCCGGCACTGGGATCAATTCTTAAAAGCCATAACAACCAAATTCGCCTCCGCCCACCTTGCCGCCAAAAGCCGTAACAACCAATTCCCAAAACTCCTCAACCCCTGCCAAGAAGAGGCCAAGAACGCAAGAAGCAGCGCCGCCGCCCATGGACTGGTCGGAGGAGGGGATCAACGAGGAGGAGGAGCCCACGCTGCGCAGGCGGACGGCGAGGCCGCGTTCTCCTCCACGCGGTCGACCCTTGCCTCTCCCGCGCCCTCCAGGATCGAGGTCGCCGTCTCCTCGCCGAGGCGGTTTGGCGGACTTCTCAGGGTCGAGGTCGCCCTCGCCGCGCCGCGTCACAATGATGGCGACGAGGATGGGCAGCTCAGTGCGGACGACCCGGAGGTCGCCACAGCCCATAAGGCCCGGCGACGATGGGGAGGAGGACACCGGCGTCAAGGAGATCATCGCCAAGATGAGGGGAGGGCTTCCACTCCCGTGCCGTCGGATGGCGCCGGCACGAGCGACTCTGGTCGCGGAGAAGGAGAAGGAGGTGGGGCGGACGAGGAGGAGCCGCAGATGGAGGACGAGGAGGGCTTCGTCGCCTTCTCGTTCCAGGATCTCGTGGGCCCGCTGGTCGTCGACGGGGAGGAGGTTCTTGACGCCTTCGTCGGCTCCGATGAGGCGAGGGCGGGCAAAGCTGCGGCCGAGCTTCTGGAGGCCACCATGGGCGCCAACACCGGGCCGAGGACCGAAGCGATCAAGACTGAGCTCGTCGTCAACCGGCGGCTGCTCGACCTCGCGGGGCTGGAGCGGTGGATGCGGACGGCGGAGGCGGTCTCCGAGCTCGAGTGGTTCACGGGCCTGTGCTGCGACGAGAACAACCCGCCACCGCAGATCGACCTCTTCGAGTGCGCGTTCCGGGCCCTGGACAACGCGTCGGCCGTCGAGCTCCACCGCGGCGCTGGTGCCAGGAAGCGCTGGATCGGCCCGGTGGGCGTACCGCAGTTCTTCATCTGCCCCATCTCCAACAAGATCATGGAGAACCCCGTGGTCATCGCCTCCGGAAAGGTGCGAGGAATCTTTCATGGCAGTGCTCTGTTTTCTTGACGGTTCTGTGATGCGATTTCACGTGTCCTAGTCCTAGTGCGCTAGTGTTGGATTACTGAAATGTTCTCTTGGATCTATAATAGCAGTTTGGATTTTTTACAATGTGCCAATCTGAAAAAATCAGCTATGTCTGAAACTGAAGTCTTGGAAGATATGCTGTGCTGAAAGAACTTATATATGCTGGGTTCTTGGTGTTGGATGGCAGCACTTTTCTCTTTGAACTTGCAACCATTTTTTTCATATTATGAAAAATGCTGATCACTGTTACTCTTGCCTGTTCAACTTCACTTAGTGAACAGTAACTTCCTGGCCTGCATTACTTTGAGTCGTTCTTCTTGCGTTGGTTTCATGCTAGATTCAGACTCTTCCATGGCTGCAGACAGTTGATCGTTCAGCTCTGGAGGAATGGCAGAAGGAGAACCGACGCGTCTGTCCCGTCACCGGCGAGGTTCTCGCGTACACCATGTGCATCCCCAACGTCCTCATCAAGCTCTGCATCGAGCATTGGCGTGCAGCAAATAAGATTGCAGGCGTGATGGCAGCCACCGATCCACCTGACATTTCCCACGAGTTGGAAGTCCTGATCGGGCAAGTCACCCTAATGCCTCACTCCCCAAGAAGCTCCAAAGAAGTCCGGAACTCGCTTTTTCTGCTCCACGAGATCCTCGTCGCCAACGAGCGCGCAGTCGTACACCTGATCGGCTGCCGCCCGGGACGATCGCGAAGCTCGTCAGCGTCCTGCCGGAGACCTGCCTGGACCCTGATGACCCTGAACTGGACGACATCATCATCAGAATCTTGGAGAAGGCGGCTTCCTACGGGCCCAACAAGGCGGTGTTCGGAGACGACCAGTACGCCGTGCCTGTGCTGATCGCAAGGACATTGCTGGGGCCAGTGCCGATGCGAGCGAGGTGTGCTCACATCCTCGGTCTGCTGGCCGACGACCACTACAACAAGATCAAGATCGGCGAGCTCGGAGGCTTCTCCCCACTGGTCGAGCTGCTCTACGTCGGAGACAAAGGCGCCAAGAAGACGGCGGCGAGGGTGATTGCCAGACTCTGCGAGGCCCAGGAGAACCAGAGCAAGTTCCAGAAGGAGTTAGTGGTGGACGCCACCATATCCGCGCTGCGGAGCGACGGGCTAGAGGAGGCGGCCCAGGACATCCTGCTGCGGATTGCAGACTCTTCTGACACCTTGACGGAGGCCTTCTTGAAGCTCGTATCAATTAAGGACGACGAAATGTGCCAGAAGATGAGTGAGTTCCTTTGGAGAACCTTCGTTTTAATGAAACGAGAAGACAAGCAGGACGTCGGTTCTTCCATGACGGCCTCGAAGAAGGCTTGGGGTGAGAGGTCTTCTACATCATCAGACGCTGACAAGTCTTCTACGTCCTCCGAGGGGTCTGCAGATCAGCGTGCATTGAGAAAGCAGAACAAGGAAGATGTCAAGACCATCGTCTCATGGCTGCAGAAGAGGTGCTCCTTCCCCAGGACATACAGGTACAGGGAGGATTGACCATTGCCTCCCTCAATGGTGTAGTAATTCTAGATAGAAGAGGAGAACCAATAGGATTGTGAGTGACTGGAGGTAGCTGTTCCTTGACTCTGACAGAACACGTTGCCTCCTGTGTACATGGCTGATGGCTGTAGCTCAGCTGAAGGTGAATAGTGGCCCTGAACTTCTTCTGAATGTCGAACTAATGGAATTTTTGGATTCAAATCCGGTCACTGTAGTTATTCAGATTTGATGGACGGGAATTATTTGACCAAAGTTAATTCTGCATTGCTGAGATGATGTGATGTTCAGTTCATCAGAAGTTGAGTAATTTCAGGTTTGGTGAATAACAGCAGATGGTATGATTTGATTGAAAGTGTTGCAGTGGTAGATTTTTCAGGTTTTGTGAATGTTGTGGTCGGTCAAGTTGAGGGCCTTCATGTTTGTTGCTCCGGACTTGTACAACAACTTTGACAGATTTCGACAGGCTTTCACTCCAGTGTGCTGCTTTGGTTGTTGCTTGAAATCCAGCTTTATAGCCTGACTAGGATTTTGGTTGCAAGCCGTGTCAGAGGTCAAATAAGATTCAATTGGTTTCTTCCCAAGTGCGAATTACTGATGAGACCAACTGATGAAATCGCAATAAATAAATAAAATGATGAGGCCAACTGATGATCATGGTTCTCCGATTAGTTATGATGACCAAGAGTGTGTATATATAGGAGTACTGTATGCTGGTAGTGGTAGTGCGTAAGATGCCAGCCTGACGGACTCTTAGCGTGAGCACGTGTACACTTGATTCATGTGCCGTCGTACGTACGGAATATACTATGTACTGTATGTACTATATCTAGCAGTGCATCACGAAATGTTCCATGTGCTACTAGTGTGGCGGCGGAGGCCGGGGAACGTACTTGCGCGCCCACAGGTGGCGCCCGTTCACCACCAGCTTCACCAGCGGTCGCCCGGCCAGCACCGCCGCAGCAGTCGCCGCACGCCGAAACACGATGCGCCCGTAGGTCGGCGGCTCTCCCGGCGGCGTCTTCTCCATCATCACTTTTGCCACGCAGTCGCTGCCCCATCTCCTGTAGTCGTATATATATATGCATTCATATATTAATATATTGTCAATTAATTAAGCTTTTCTTTATTTGCATTTCAGGAGTATGCAACGTACGGTAAAACGTGCACGTATGCTCTTCTCATTAGCATCTTCGTGTAACTGGTTTTTGATGACAATGTTTGTGTATATAAGCTATTTGCTTACTCGATGAAGTAGCTGAGTGAGAACACATGTTGGGATAAACAAAACAGAGGAATAATCACATGCAAATTAAGTTCCAGCATCAAATTGTGGATATTACCCACAAAGAAATTCAACAAAAATAATAAATGGATATTGCCATGCTCAGAATGAGACTTTTTTTTCCCTTCAAAGAGCTGCTTGAATATATATATATATATATATATATATATATATATATATATATATATATATATATATATACACTCCCGGGAGTAGTTATTCCCATAATCAATAAATCACGTTGCGTATATGTACATACTTATTTATCAGTTGAGTATGTTGACATACTAATATTAAGATACTACAGATCTTTACTATGTGAAAAAAAAATTCAAAACAGCACATATTTTTTAATATATTATATAATACTATGATAGTAGCATATAAAATAAGTATAACTATATACTCTAAGTATACATACATACTTGTCATACATAGTACCCTAGATGATCTAGTATGATGATATACTCTATCTACATACACTTCGTCGGGCCATATATGCCATAAATCTAGAGATATACATATGGGAGTAACTACTCCCTGAAAGGAGAAAATAATTTTCATATATATATTTTGCGTTCCTTGCAGCTACTGTTGTTTGCAGACGCAGCGGCCACAAAAAAAATAGGCCTTATGTATCTAGGTAGTGGGAATATTTAACTTTTTATTTATGTTTTGATTACACCGTGCTCATCTAGAAATGTGCCCTTTATAGAACGTAGCGAAATTTTGATTATTCATCTAATCCTAAATTAAGTAGAATGTACTCTCTCACTTTCAAATTGTAATCCGTTTTGGTTTTTCTTAATATATATAGGATTTGCTATACACCATAGTTAAAGTTATATATAACTTGAAAAGTTAGAACAACTTACAGTTTATTAGAACAAAACGGAGGGAGATGTGTTCACATTGTTAGAAGATAGGTTTATAGTTCAGGGAGGCATGCACATTACAAACCACTGCCAAGATTAAGCACAAAGGATCGGAGTAGAATGTCAGTGCAAAGAACGTTGAGTAAAATCATTTCTTAAAAACCATTGAAATCAACTCATAAATGCATAACTTCCAACTAATCAGTCAAAGACTAATAATTATCGCATGCATGTATAATTATGCTTTGAGACTTGTTGCTACGTACTCAGTGAAGAACTCCTCGACCTCCACGCGCGTTAACGGGAACCCTTTGGAGAACGTGATGAACAGCGACCGGCCGTCCTCCTCCTGCACCTCCGCCGCCACGCAGCGACGACGATACGGAGCGGCCAGTTCCCCCGGGAGCGCGCCGCCGTCTCTGCCGTCCTCGTGCCACCGCCTCAGGATCGCGTGTAGCCGATCGTCGAACACCAGCGCTCCGACGCCGCCGAGGACCTCCGCGACACCGCACCGTGGGGCATCGGCCGTGCCGCAAGACGCCAGGAACCGCCGCACGCGGACGCGGGCGTCGTCATCGTCCTCGCCACACGCGCACGAGAGGAGCGTCGTCGTAGACTCCGCGTCGGCGCCGTGGAGGAGGACGGCGCGGGCCTCGGCGACGAGCTGGGCGGCGGCAGCCTGGGTGCGGACCAGAGCGCGCACGCGGGAGACGGCGTCGACGCCGGCTTTGCGATGGAACCACATGAGGAGCGCGACGGCGTCGCGGGATGAGTGGCGCCCGGTGCCCAGGGAGAGCAGGTGCTCGTAGGCGGCGCGGTCGACTCGGTGGAACGCCAGGACGTCGTGCACGGTCGGCTCCATGGGTGGCCCGCTGCTGAGCGAGAGCGGCGAATTGGGCGAGCGCAGCGTGGTTGCCTGGTTTGGATGCGAAAGATTCTGGCAATGTAAATAGTCATGGGCGCATGTGTACTTGCACTGGGAAGTACAGTTTGTTAGAGGGAATTTAGCGGTATTTTTTTAATATAAGAAATGGTTTTACACTCTTAAAAAATGAAAGAAGATGAAAGAAATGCGTTTTCCCATGGGAAATTTTCTTTCTTGGTAATATAGGAACCTTTTTTACTGACTGTTTTGAACTTGAGACTTATTTCTTTCAGCTTTTGGTGAGGCAACAATCTAAACAAACAGTATGCTATTGGAAATGGATTTTGGAAGCCAAAAGTATGTCTGAAGTGGCCTTATTGATTTCTTACATGTTGATTTAAGGGCGGTCCCAACGCTAAAACCATATATAACTTTTTATGCTGCTTTATATAGACCATATGCATAGAAACTATATTTTTAATGAAAATAAATTCTACAAAATAAGCTTTTGTCCAATTACATGTCTTATTTCTCTCTCATCTACCGTACCTATCGCATCTCTTAATGTGAAGATTGAATAGATCTATTGCCAAGTGACTATAATGACCGTCTTTTCTGCAAATAGCTAAGGTTACATAAGAGAGCAGATAAACTTTGGATATAGTAGCACAAAACACTGGAAAGGAAGATGCCAGGTGAGGCTGTGTTTAGTTGGGTGAAATTTGAGAATTTGGCTACTATAACATTTTCGTTTTTATTTGGCAATTAGTGTTCAATCATAGATTAATTAGGCTTAAAATGTTCATCTCGCGATTTTCAACCAAACTGTGCAATTAGTTTTTTTCGTTTACATTTAATGCTCCATGCTCCATGCACGGATCGCAAGATTCGATGTGATGGCTACTGTAACACTTTTTGGGAATTTGGTTTTGGAACTAAACGTGGCCTGAATTGGGAGGCAGCAGTGGCGGCGGAGCCTGAAAGGGGGAAGAAAGTCACCCTAGTGCTCTTGTGTCCATCTGCTTGCACCGCCTTAGGCATGGCCCACGCAAGTCAGGTTTTAGAAAAAAGATTTCAGTTCCATTCTAGCGAAGCCTGGTTAGCCCTGTTCGTTTGGCTGATAAGCCATGACTGAAAGTACTGTTGGCTGATTTGTTGTGAGAGAAAAATACTGTTCGTTGGCTGAAAAAATACGGCTTATAAGCCAAGAGAACAGGGCACTAACTAGGCTAGGTTGTTGCTTTTGTATGACTGAGTCTGACCCAACACTCTCCTCAGTTCACCCATCCAAAAATCCATAAGCTGCATCCACAGAACTGGATTAGACGGCAACCAATTAGATCTTACAAGTAGAGTTCATCTCTCTCACACACCAGCACATGTCTCGCACCAAAAGTCCATCTCGTTCGCTTGCATAGATGCACAGGCGCATAGTGGCAGAGCCACCGCATGGCCACCCGGACGGCCAGGGACGAATCTAGACCAAATGGCCATCGAGGTCTATTGAGATTTCTAAAATTCGTCGGGGTCAGTGGACCCCGATGGCATGCTGTAGTGTCGCCCCTGCGATGGCCGGTTGGGCTCCTCGGTGAAGTAGGCCTGCTAATGAGGCTAAACTAACCCACCCAACCCATAGCTCGTGAGAGGATTCCCCCAACTTGACCCTGTCTAAAAAATCAATGAGTGAACCTGCCCCGTCCCAGAGTACCCGATCTTATCATCCATCATGAGCCCCATCGGACGAAGATGAAGGTCATGTGCGGCCACTCCATCCCGTTGGTGTTGACATTTCTTAACATTACTTTCACTAAGTTGTCATCCCTAGCAATGATGCTATAAATGTTTATTGGTATTTTATTAGTAACACTTGTAAATTCAGGAAAGATTATATATGTTGAATTAATCCGCAAGCGCGTAGATAATATACCATTGTAGTATTTCACCCGGGAGTATAACAGGTATCATTATTTATATT